CCTCAATGATGGCTCTCAGCTGTTTCCGCACTACCTCCTTATCGGCACGCCGAATGTTCGTTGCGAGCTGATATCCACCCCGTATGGACCTGCCTTGGGCGCCCCTGTAGGCTGGGTTGCCCTGTCCAAAGGCAGAGTGCTCACCCGTTTGCCTAGGGTCGTTGTAGGCGAGCAGCTGGCCCCCTCGTCGAGAGGCATGCTCTGATGGGGCTGCTTGCCTCCATTCACGTGGGAGCCGTGCTTGGGGGTGAAGGTCGCCCCTAAGGCGTGGATGCGAACGAGACCTCCTGGCCTGTTCGCCAGATGATGCTGCCGACGCAGCCTGAGCAGGAGCAGGCGGGGGTTCCTGAGGGGCCGCAGGCAGCGCATCTTGGGCATGCAGGTCTACCTGCTGACTGGAGTCTGGTACAATTGGCTCTTGTGCGGGTGGTGGTGCGTCAGGACTGTCTGGGTCGAAGATCACCTCCTCGTCTTCGCCATTGACTTCCATCATGAGGATGGTGGTCTCGTCCTCGCACATTCCACATCCATCATCTTCTTCAATTCCTAACATAGGTTGCCAATGACAATGGTCATTGGCCCAGCCGGGGCGGGCAGGTTTCCCTGCTGTCCAGGCGCCTGGGCATCGCTTGGCTGTCCCGGAGTCGGCGGCACGGTAGTCGGCTCAGGCTCGTTACCGAGCACGGCGCGCGCCTCAAGCTGATCATAGTCATATGTGGGCTGCCCGATAACATTTCGCATGGCCGTATGGTTGGGCTGTAGCCCCACCGCCTGGAGACCCCATCCCGGCGGAGGAAGCGCCTGTCCACGCATGGCGATAGCCCTCTCAAGGGCTTGGCGCCAACGCCCTTTTGAGTACCATACATGTCGCTGCACGTCCTCGGGGCGCACGCTGTCGATGAGAGTAAGGGCCGCCAACAACAACTCCGAGTCGTCACAGACATCAGTGTCTTGTAGCATCATGTGGCCACTCTCGACACTCTGTTGACTCTCGGGATATTCTTCGGCCTGCACGGCGTGCATCTGCATGAGAGTCTGCAGTACCGTGCATGGTCCGTACTCGCCTGGCGCGAGCATGCCAGGTGGTTCGTGAGGATTGCCTGGCACGCCCACGGTGAATGCTTGAGCCTCTAATTCCATCAGTTCACCGTAATTTGGCGGATACACTGGAGTGGGCCTGTTTCCAGGCACGAGGTCGGGTTGACGTCGAAGGTCGTGGTCAACCTCCGCAGGCGAGGCCTCAACAGTGACGTCCTCGTCGCTGCTCTCGTAGGCCATGATATTGCCTGGGTTACCGAACATCCAGTCGAAAAAAGAAAGGGGCTTGTTTCCCAGCGCTCCGTCCTCCACAGGCGTGAGTTCGATATTTCCGAAAACGAACCTGCGGAGGTACTCGAGGTAGTACGCGTAGAGCCCATGGCCGCACGCCTCGATCTCATCCAGACTGTCCATGTTGCTGACCCAAATTAAAAACAGCTGTTCCACAGCCTCGAAGTCTTGGAGGCTCAGATATTCAATAGAAGGTTCACTTGAGCCTAAATGGACTTCGGTCGATCTACCCTTTCCATTTCCCTTCGCTGGACAATCCTTTACCAGATGATCGGTACTATCACATTCATGGCACTTCAAGACCTGGCCGTCTCTACCTCGCGGGTTCCCCCGCCTGCCCTCACCATTGCCTGAGGTTCCCCGACGGCCTTTTCCACTGCCTTTTCCCCGTAAAATATCTCATCAAACTGATCATCTGAAAGCCTCTGGAGGAAAGCCGCGATGCCTCGTCCGTTCAACCTTCGGCGACCCCGTTTGCCTTTACCTTTTCCTTTGAAGCTCCTCCGTATCCTCCTCCTAACACGACGCACTGGTTTTCTTGTAAGCCTCCTCCACCTACGCTTTGCCTGTTGTAATGACCAGAACAGATGCTCGGCATGCTGATTATCACCTTCCATTTGTATGATATCTGACCAGTCTAGTGGTTCGATGCCGTCTGATGATATTGTGTCAGCGTCGGCGCCGGAGTCGAAATCGTCGTTACCTAAGTAGGTGGATACACCGTCGCTTAGGGGATTCGCCTCACCCCATAGGGAGCGGTGAGGTTGAGGTTCTCTGGGAGGAGGCTGGTTGCCCAGCTTGGTTGTGATCGACCCCCTGCTAGTAGGGCAGTAGATTATCTAGGATCGTCGGCCCATATGTTCGAGGGCCCGTTGCCAGGCTGAGCTTCAGTGGTTAAGGTAGTCTAGAAATTTCCACTACCAGTTCCCCTTCCCCTTCCAAACACTGATCCTATGTTACCAATAGACCGTTCTCACAAATCTCGGCGCACCTTCCTGGCGTACCCGGCCTCGGGCGCCAACGCCCCAACGATGGGCGCGGCGACCGAGCCAGGGCCGCCGCCCCGCGTGGGGGGTGCTTTCGGTGACGCGCACAGTCCCCGACCAGGCCAGCCTGGGCGTTGAACCCCATGGGCGGGCGGGAGAGGCGGACAAGGGGCCGCCAACGACCGAGGCAGCCCCGCACCCAGGAGCGGGCGGGCGGGGCAGAACGGCCGACGGGCCCGCGCCGCGCGAGCGCCGCACGAGCGCGGTGCCCAAAACAATATAATAGACAACCTGCGAAGCGAGCATCGCCAAGGCGCGCCGCGATCCGCCCAGTGACCGATCCCCGCGGCGCGCCTGCGCGAGCGACCGCGGCAGGCCCGCGCGAAACAACACAGAAGCGCAAAGACGCGACTGCGGGCGGTGCGCGCTGCGGCTGGGCTGCATGCGGCGCGCGTCGCACGCGCCGCGGCGCCGCATGGCCCGTCGGCCGACCTGCGATTTGTGCCCGCGCAGCACCCTACGGGCGCGCGCCCCCCAAATCTCGGCGCACCTTCCTTGTGTACCCGACCTCGGGCGCCAACGCCCCAACGATGGGTGCGGCGACCGAGCCTGGGCTGCCGCCCCGCGAGCGCCCCGCGTGGGGGGTGCTTTCGGCGACGCGCGCAGTCCCCGACCAGGCCAGCCTGGGCGTTGAACCCAACGCCGCAAGCGCCCAGGCTCGCCTGGTCGGGGCGCGCCAGGCCTGCCGCGACCCAATGGAACGGTCGCAGTGCGCGCCGATCGTGAGCCTGGCCGACTTACCCCGCAGGCACCGATGCAGAACCTGGCCTGCTCGCCGCGCCGGCGCTTGGGCACGAGGCTGCGGCCACTGCTTCGGCGGTCGCATCGCCCTAGTACTGGTGCATATCAAGGTATTCTTTGAAAGCGCGGGAACTCCAATCGGCACCGCGGAGGATCTCACAAAGGCGGCCGCTGCACCTCCGCCTAGTCTCCGCGTGCCCGCGGCGGAACGCTTTGCTCGTAAAAGAAGCCGCGCTTGGTGCGCCGGCGCGCCGTGCCGCCGCCTTGATCGCGCGCTGCACGGGCGCGGCGATTGAGACGACGCCGCTGCCGTCGACTCGCCGCATATGCGGGAACGCGGGCGAGACGACGCAAATGCCCTCGAAAAAACTACGCGCCGCGTGCACAATGCAAGTCGCACGCGGATGTTTGCACCAGCAATTCCGCACCGCGACCGTCGGGCCGTCGCGGCGCCTACGCCGCGAGAAATGCAACGTTGCAGAATCGCCCGAAAAGAAGATGACGACTCTTGCGACTGGCCTGCGCAGGTCTTCGTCAGAGAAGGCGAAGTCCTTAAATGCCGATGGGTCGCCTCGCTCAATCAAGAGGGCCTCGGAGGGCACGCGCAGAGCGAACCCCCAGGACACCAAGAAGAGCGAGCACATCGCGCTGTCGGCACTTACGAAGTCGAGCATAGCCGATAAGTGCGAGAGCAGGACGAAACACTTTAGCGGCCGCCTCACGGGGTGCCGCTTCCCGATGGCCTCGCGGGCGCCCCTAACCGAAGGATGCGAAAAGGCCGACGCGTCCCGGCCCAACAACTGGCATGCCTTCTTAAGCTGTGCCACGTAATTGCCGAAGGTGCGCGGGTTGCGAAATTCGAGCGCGAACAAGCACACCTCGTCGGCCGACGGCGGCAGTGCGCTGCAGCCGTCTCTGTTGAGGCGACGCTGCGCGAAAGCCACCCACGCCCGGACCGCAGCCCCCCAGGACCCGAAGGAACGCGGCGCCGAGCCGACGATTGCCAAAGCTCGCGCGCGGGCCGGGCTGTCCTGCATGGCCACTGGCGACGGCGGCCCGCGAGCGCCGCTCGCGACGGACTTGCGAGGGCCGCCCGTGGGCACGGGTGACAATTTCACGCTGCGCACGGCCCTGTAAGCGCGCGCCAGCTCTCGCTTCGCCGCGCTGTCGCACGCGGCACCCGGCGCGAGCGCGCCCGGGCCGCCGCGCGCGAGCGCCGGTTGTTTCAGCACACGGGACGGCGCTGGAGGCGGCCCGCTCGGCGGCCGCGGAACTCCCGCCGCGATCTCACGCAAGCGCGCTTGGGCGTCTGCGGAGAAACGCTCAAAACCTGCTACGCGTTTCCACTTTGCGCCGCGTGCGTCAGCGACGTGTTCGAAACCGTTCGCGACCAGTACATTTGCAATCAGATCAACTTCCACATCATTGCCTGCGCGCGAAAAACGAGCGACTGAGCCTGGCGGCGCGCGCGATGGCCGGAACGCCAGGCACGCCCGCCCTGCGCAGTCCAAGCGCCAAGCGCGTCACATCCACGCCACCAGACGACAAACGATCGGAAACGCGACGCGCGGCCGAGCAGGAACGCCCCCCCCTCGCCGCGCGACCGGCGCTGGCTGCAGTGGCGGCGCGCGACCGGGGGGGGCGCGGGGGGGAGGAGGAGGGGGGAGGGGGAAGGGGGGCGAAGGGCGGAGGCACAGGGGGGGGAAGGGGGGGCCGGCGCGAGAGGAGGGAGGGGGGGAAGAAGGGACCGCACTCCCAGTGCGGCGCGCGCGGACGCGGAGCGGAAGACGCCGGGCGCTCCCAGCGCGGCGTCCAACCTGCACGCGGACGCAACCGATGATGCAGGGAAGCGACAGACGATGAGAGCCCTCCCTCTTTTTGCTCAGAGCCACAGCGCCTCCCAGGCCTCGGCTGCGTGAAACCGCGCATCGAGCACCGCTGGCACCTGGCGCGCGCCGAGCAGGTGCAAGAGACTGTAGACCTCGCGGGACGGCCCGTCCGAGATGTTGCTTTTGGACGGGACGCGGCGCACCCACATCGACAGGGACATGCGCGCCGCGAGAGACCAAATGCCGCGGACGAGGGCTGCGTGATCCCAGTCCCGGGCGCTCGCGCGCGCCACTGACCTCTCGGCCCCCGAATTGTCCGAGAACACTTCCAGCGCCCGACCTGCCAGTCGCTCTTCAAAAGACGACAAGCCTAATGCGACCGCCAAGACCTCGAGGCCCATGACCTGGCCGTCGCGTCTGCGCTTGAAATTCCGCATCAGAGCTGCGTCGGGTGCGTACTCGGCAAACAGGATTTCGCCGTCTATAAAAAAGCACGGCGGCGGCGCGAGGGGGCGTGCTCCGCGCATCGCAGAACATGTGTGCCGCGGGCATGTCCCCTTGCTTCCAGCTGGCCACTTCGCGCAGCCTGAGCTCGAGCACTTGGGCCCACCAGCGCAGCGCGAGCTCGAGAGGCCGCCCGATACGATTGGAGCGTTTGTGCTGGTGCGCGAAGAGTGGGCGGAGCATTGCTCTGCTCAAGCGCTTAAACAAGCGCTGCGCGGCCCATGCGAGAGCGCCCGCGAGTTTCTTCGCAGCGCCCCGGTGCAACGTGCCGCACTCTAAAGCATGCCGGATGGCGGACGACCACTTGAGCCGCTTGTCGCACGCTGGCTCGCAGTGCACGCCCTGCGCACAGAAAGAAAAGAGCAGCCCCAACACGACCAGCTGGGCCCCGCGCGCCAGCTTCGCGTCGGCTACTGCGTCGCTGCCGAGCGCGGCTCTGACGACGCGAGCGAAGCACCGCATGGCGTGGTCGGCCGCGCCGGGGCGATCCGGCGCAAAATAATCGTCTACGTATCGCGAAACTGGCAGCTTGGCGAGCCGCCTTGCGAAGTGCGAGAGCATGGCGGCCACGCGGCCCCAGTCGCGGCAAGATGCTAGCGCGCCGAACGGGCAGACCAGGTGCTGCGAGCACCACAGGCGGCCGCGCTCCTTGAAAACACTGACAGCGGCCCACCTATCGGCGGGGGCCAACGGGATGCGGCGGTGAGCGGAATCTATGTCCGCTTTCCACAGCTCGGGAAGCACGCCGTGCAACTCGAAGAAGGCGCGCGCGACCGCTACCAGCTGGTCTGCGCCTTCCACGCTTAATTTCTCGGCGGGAGCGCACGCGCCGCTCACCCTGGAGCGCGTGAAGTCATCCACCGGGCGCACTTTCAGCGACCCGTCGGGCTTCGGTTGCAAGACCCCCAAACCTGGGCACCAGACGAATTGTTTCGCCCCAAGCAGCGGCAAGCTCAGCCGCGGAGATGTCGGGCCTAAAAGCCCGCGGCGGAGACATCCCACCCAAGTCCGCCTCCTCCCGCGTCTTACGGAGCACCTCGCTGGCGAGGGGATCCTCGCGAATTGATGCAAGTATCAAGTCGTTGCACGCGAGCGCGCTGGCACGCAAACGGGCTACCTCAGCGCTAGTGTCGCCCGCGCGCTCTTCCGGGCTGAGCGCGCGACCGTTGCCGCTGCATGCTAGGTTACCCAACAGAGGGGCGCCTCGCGAGAAGAAGTCGATGCACTCTGCGTCGCGCCACTCAGACTCACGCGCCAATTCCTTTAAAAGTGGAATGTTGACGCCTGCGATAAGCGGCCTGAATTCCGGTGGCGCAGCCTTTCTCGCGGCCTCGGCCACCCCGGACGCCTCGAAGTGCGCCGCCCGGGCTTCGATGCGCCGAACGCGCTCCTCGCGTTCTTTGATGCACTGGCGTAGGCTACGCGCGGCGCTCCACCGCAACGCTTCCATGCACTCGCACTGCACGTCCGTGCGCTTCGGCTGCGCGTCGCGGCGGCCGAGCGCCTCACGCGTGAAACGCAGCGCCTCGACCTCATCGGGCGTTCGCCGCGCAGAGCTTGCGCGCTGGCAGCGTCGAATGCCGACTGGAAGCAACTCAGATCAGCGCAGGATGTGTTGGGGAGAACTGCACCTGACTGGACCCTCACTGGCTCCGCGGCTGACTGCGCAGGGTGCGCGGGGAGTGCTGCCCCCGCGTCGGGCGGGGCGGCTGCGGCCCCTCACTCTCTCTTCTGGCGCTTGCTTGGCGTCACCGGCGCCTGCGCCCCGCTGGCGGCACTCCCGGACGAGTAATGCCCCTGCCAGCGGTGAGAGTCGTTCGCGGGCTTGCCCTTGTGCTCTTTGCCGTAGCCCTTGGCCTTGCCGCCCTTGGCGCTGTGGTCGCTGCCGCTTTTGTGGCCCCTGCCGGCGCCCTTTGCCTTGCCCTTCGACTGCGCTGGAGCTCGGTCGTGCACCACATGGAACCCGCGGGCGTCGTACTCGCGTTCCGCCCGGAGCATGGTGGCCGCGTTCTGCGACTGCGCGGCCGCGGCGACGTCGAAGGCGCCCAGGCCCGCTGAAAGGTCTGCCCATTCGCGCCGGGCTATCTCGTCGCAGAGGGCGGCGATCGCGGTCGTGCGCCCACTGGCCCGCGCCGACAGGGCGAGCTGCATCGCGACCTCCTTGTGGGCCATGGACGCCGTGAGCGGCATCTGACCGGTGAGCGCCGCGACGATTGCCCATCTGTCAAACGCGACGCACCGCTGCAGGATGCTCGGCAGGTCCCCCTGCTTCTTGTCGGGGCCCCTCGCCTGGCAGATGCCGCGAGCGATCTCCCGCGCGAAAGACCGCTCGACGCCGCGCTCCCCCATCGGGATCGTCGGGCTGCCTCTTGTCCGCCGCGTAGTACGGGGGGAATTTCTTGATCGGCATGTAGAGGAAGGGCTTCGCGATGCCCTTGCACTCCGCGGCCTTGACCCAGCCCTGCACCCAGTCGGTCAGTCGCGGAGACGGCCAGCACGACGCTGGCAAGCCCGCCAAGGTCATGCCGCCCAGGCCTGCGGCGATGTCCACGTGGACCGCTGGCTTGCGGCCGCCCTGGAGCGCCTGCAGGAGGGCGCTCGCCAGCTCCTGTGAACCGCTTGGCGCCGCGGCCTCGGCAGCTGCCTGCTGCTCGGCGGACTGGGTTGCCTTTGCGACGGTGCGCTCGAGGAAAGCGACCTTGCCCTCGACCAGCCCGTTGAGCTGGCAGGTCGCGGCCCTGACGTTGAGTTCGACCAGGCCCTCCGGACTCTCGATGCCGTTGGTCGCCAGCGCCTCGACCACTGGCTTCAGCCACGCGCGGTCGCGCTTCGCGCGCCAGTCCACCCCAGACGCGAGAAGATCGAGGAGCGGCGCGGACATGGCAGGCGGCAGCGGAGCCAACCACGAGGGCGCACGACGGGAAGGTAAGCAATTCACTCGCTCGAGCGAAACAGCTACGGACCGAAAACGCCCAGCCGGGCGAGCACGCAGGACCAACGAGAGCGCGCGCGCCACGGGACAATGCACGAACACGTGACACCACACTTGCCCGACTTTGGGGCGGCGAACATGCGTCGCCCGCGCTAGGGCGGGCGCACTTGCGACGGCAAAGCCGGCGCTGCGGACCGTTGTGCGGGTGCGGTGGTGGCGCCGTTGGGTCTCCCTCGTTCGGGTAGTCCAGCAACAGGACGCCCTCGTGCGGGTCGCCTGAACATAAGCGCTATGGTCGCGCTGTCGGGTCGCCCTCGACCGGGTCGCCCGTGTGCAGGTGCGTCTGTAGCACCGTTGGGACCCCCTAGGTCGGGTAGCCCAACAACAGGACGCCCTCGGGCGGGTCGCCTGCACTCAAGCGCTATGGTCGCGCTGTCGGGTCGCCCTCGATCGGGTCGCCTGAGTTCGGGTGCGTCTGTAGCACCGTTGGGACTCCCTAGGTCGGGTAGCCCAACAACAGGACGCCCTTGGGCGGGTCGCCTGTAACCGAGCGCAATGGTCGCGCTTCTGGGTCGCCCTCGATCGGGTCGCCCGAGTGCAGGTGCGTCTGTAGCACCGTTGGGGCCCCCTCGGTCGGGTAGCCCAACGGCAGGGCGCCCTCGAGCGGGTCGCCTGTTCACGCGCGCTATGATCGCGCTGTCGGATCGCCCTCGGTCGGGTCGCCCGAGCGCGGGCGCGTCTGTAGCACCGTGGGCCCCCGCGAACGGGAAGCAGAGCAAAAACACACACAGGCGGGCGACCACCAACGCCGGGACACGCAGGAGACGGCACGAAGCCAGGAACAAGCGACGCGACACGACGACGACGACGACGCGGCGGCAGCGGCGGCGCCAGCGGCGGCGACGCAGCAGCGACGGCGGGCCGCGGCGACGGCGGACGGCGACGGCGCAGCGACGGCGGCGGCGGCGGCGGCGACGCGGCGGCGGCGGCGGCCACGCCCGACGACCGCCAGGGCGAAACACGGACGAAGACCACGACGACGACGACGTCACCGCGGCGGCGGCAGCGACACCAGGGGGGGGAGGCGCGGCGGCGACGGCGAGAACCCACCAGATAGACGGACGACGGACGACCGACAGACCGACGAACGGACGAGGGACGACCGACGGGCCAACGACCGACGGGCCGAGCGAGGCCACGCCCGACGACCGCCAGGGCGAAACACGGACGAAGACCACGACGACGACGACGACACCGCGGCGGCGGCAGCGACACCAGGGGGGGAGGCGCGGCGGCGACGGCGAGAACCCACCAGACAGACGGACGACGGACGACCGACAGACCGACGAACGGACGAGGGACGACCGACGGGCCAACGACCGACGGGCCGACGAAGAGGGGGGGGGGCAGGCCAGGGAAACGCGGGCAGGGACAGGCGGGGCGACGGCCAGGGGGCCCAGAGCGGACCCCAAAGGAAGGGGAACGGCGGCACCGAAGAGGCGAAAGCCGTCCCGCGCCCAAGTACGAATAGACAACAAGCACAAGCGAAAAAGGCGCCCATCGCGCACCGCAACGAAACAACCTCTCTTCAACATTATGGCAGAACGGCCGACGGGCCCGCGCCGCGCGAGCGCCGCACGAGCGCGGTGCCCAAAACAATATAATAGACAACCTGCGAAGTGAGCATCGCCAAGGCGCGCCGCGATCCGCCCAGCGCGCGATCCCCGCGGCGCGCCCGCGCGAGCGACCGCGGCAGGCCCGCGCGAAACAACACAGAAGCGCAAAGACGCGACTGCGGGCGGTGCGCGCTGCGGTCGGGGTGCACGCGGCGCGCGTCGCGCGCGCCGCGGCGCCGCAGGGCCCGTCGGCCGACCTGCGATTTGTGCCCGCGCAGCACCCTACGGGCGCGCGCCCCCGACAAATGGCCCATCGAACGCATCCTCTCACACAGTTCGTCACACGGCTGTTGTGTTCGGGGCATTTGGTGGTTGAGTGGCTGTAAGAGTTGCATGGCTCGCTGGCTGCCAACGCCTAGGGCGCGGAACAGGATGGTCGTGAGCAGTTGGAAGTTGGGAAGGTCAAAACCCACCGACTGTGCCTCAAGACGGGCCATTTCGAACCGAGTAAGGATTACGTCGATTCGTTCTCCGTGAGGCAAATGAAAGTCGATGAGCTGAGTGCCTGAAGTGAGCTGGCGCTCATCTTCCAGGCGTTCGAACTTCATGCTTAAGAGGAACATAATGTAGGTTACTGGGCCGGTGTGGACACCATCGATGTCCGCACCATAGTTTACGATGTCAGGTGGTACCCCCATGGCGAGTGTCCTCGCTAGGCCGCCCATGCCGCGTTGCATGGCGGCTGCTTGGGCTTGTGGCGTCATGCGTCCACTCGTGACGTTAAGCCACGCGTTGACCTCGTAAACGTACTCGCGAAAGGGTACGTTGCCTTGAGGGTCCCAGTATGGGCCATGCGTTTGCCCATCTGTGCTATTGTCTCCTCGACGCATGTGTCCGATTGCCGCCCCCAGCGCAAACCATATGATGGCGAAAATAACCGACCCTAGGCTGTGAATATATGGGTGGTTATCAGGCGCGTTGCCGCGCTGGGGTAGGGCTTGTAGCGCCTTGTCGAGTCTACGAGGCGCTTTATCTTGCGGGTGTCCCCGTCTACGCTTCAAGTACTGCGCTTTTGTCTCGTTGCCGAGCGGTTGGTAGTAGCGTAGTGATGAAGCGCATATGGTACCAATGTTGTTGTCTAGACGTCGCACCTCTCGTGTTGCTTCTTGCGATTGTATTGATCCTCGTAAATGTCGGTGGAGTTGTGGCGCAGGGTAGAGATTGGTGGTCACGAGGATCGTGCCGGGTAGCGTGAGGTTAAGAAGAGCAAGAGCTGACCACACGAGAGTGCGGCCAGCTCCGCTACCAAGTCTGAAATGACTCTGGCAGGTCATATAGCATCCAATTCCATGTCGAAGGAATACGATATGGGGAGTGGATGGATAGGATAGGATAAGATCGATGTAATGATCTTTCCAGAACATAGCGAACACTAAGGTAAGTGTCCGGGCAGATAGGGCGCGCGTGCCTTGAGCCACAAGGCAGCGGCGCGCAGGCGATACTCCCGATCTTCTATAACATCTCCCAAAGAGCTACCCTTAAAGTGGTACACCTCCCGCATGGCCAATCAATGCATAAGCCCCCCTTCCACGCGTGCCCGCTCGAGGATGGTGCACCTCCCGCATGGCAGCTAATGCCGAACCCCCCCACACGTGTCCGCTCGATGATCGTGCACTTCCCGCATGGCTGCTAATGTCTGAACCCCCCATCCATGCGCGCCCGTTCGAGGATTGTGCACTTCCAGCATGGCCGCTACCTCCTAGACCCATCAACCCACGTGCACCCGCTCGAGGGTCGTGCACTTCCCGCATTCCAAGGCGCTGTTCCCAAGCGCTCCAGGGCCGCCCAAACCACGATCCCTCGTTGAAAACGATGATACGCTTCTCGGGCTTACAAGACGGCTTGTGCAGGCAAACAAGGACACCAAAATGGACGAAGATGCTTCGAAAACTGCCCAAGTTGGTCCCAAGGCGGCCGAATATT